CGCAAATGGCTACCATATTGAAAAATATACTATTTTTGTATGATAATTATGGGTTTTGTATTTTATTTTAATAGAAGTTGATGTTGCTTTTGCAATTATCCATCAATTTTTTAAAATTAAACACTATCTACAGATTTGCATCGAAGCGTTTCTTATGATAGTGATTTTAATCACTGTCAGATTAAATCTATACTGGACCCTACTATGCAATGCCTCCACTATGCCGCGACCCCACTGTGCTACCGTTTTTATGTATAACATTTCCCAATATGAGTTTTTAAAATAAATTGTACACAATGTGCAATATTATTACCATTTTACGTAATTTTCAAGTATCGTTTTTCGTGAAACTACTTAACTTGCTCAACTGCTAAATTGCCCAAATAACATAATATCTGTATGCTAAAACAAAAAGATACATTGTAATCGCAGTGTTAATTGTTGACTTTATTAAGAATTAAATTCCAATAATCATTTAATTGTGAAATTAGTAGTGACGAAATAAGTGTTGAATTTGAACAAATTACGAAATGAAACAATAAACTTTGTAAAATTATTATACTCGAAGAATAAACAAAGAGATTAGTACGCTAATTATATATATTTTACGCTACAATAGTGATAAGAAACAATGAAATTTTTTTCTTAAAATATTACCTAATTATTACAGCGTGAAATTAAAACAAATTATTTTCATTCTTTAGTTAACATATTTAGTTGAGTAGTATTTCGGTATAAAATTTAATTCTTCATTATTGTTTTACTTATTATTTTATAATTGAAATAATTAATTCGAATGTACATATGATGAAAATTCAATATTTAACCAATTTATTATTTATACCTATTTAAATTGAAAATTTGATAGATAATTGTTAGTTAACGAAGGCATGTTCAGATTTGAATGATAAAGAGGGTTTATTTTTTTTATATTTCTACATAAAGCGAAAATATATTAACACAATAAAGTTACTTTATTTTATGAAAATGGACATGATATAAATTTGTCAAGTGTATTTTGTAATTTAATACAAAGTAAAAAGATAATTTGGTAAAATTCTTATTCTTAAAATGTAAACGAAGTTATAACCTAATCTGCTTTCACCTGTTGAATTTATTTTGACTAATACTTACATAAACATTATCATTGTGATTGTATTTTTAAAAAAAACAGTTTTCATAAATAGTATGTTACATAAAATACAAACAAGGAGCATTGACATAAGTCTAAGGACCAATTTTTTTCATAACTACTCGTATAACTACAAGATCTATCTCGTTACTGAGATTCAAATCGTAACTTAAGTGAACAACTTTTTTGAATGATTAATTTGTACAAAGATTACGCATCTTATTAAATTATTATTAATTCATTTTATTATTCATAATAAATTAATAATATTAATTAGTTATTCAATAATAAAAATATAAATGAGTAGTCAAAATAAATAAACGCATTTAATATTATTAATTTTTACTCTCTTATTTTCATCATTGTTTATGACTTTTATTATTACGGCTCTATGATATGAAAAATACATAACCCTGTAAATGTTTCATCTATATCTCCTGATTCACCAATTAATTTATTCGCTGTTTTTAGCGTGATAACTTTTTAGTCGTATACTTTTTATTGGATTCATTTTTTTATAAAATTTAGTTATAAAGTTTTCTCTTTACTCAAACTTTTTTTTACAGGTTGGATCTATGGCGCTTTACTGCTTGGACTACTCAACTTCTAATACTGCTTCTCTTGGACAAAGGTTACCGACATGGAGTTTATGCTAAACCAGGTAATAACCATTCATATTACTTTAGCTAAGTGTGATGTTATTGTAATCTTATTGTAGATAATTATTTAGTATACCAAAAAATAGACTTTGTTCCATTTTCTTGTTACTATTAACAGAACTTTTATTAATAATAAAAAAAAAAATTATATATATATACATATGTATATGTATATATTATAAAATATATTAATGTACTACAATAATTTAGTGTAAATTATTATCATTAAACTAGTATTACATGTGTTCTATAACCGGTGTAAAATATATGCTCCTATGGTGTGTGAAACAAGTTAACTTGTAGAGATTATGACAAGAAGATAAAAGTGTTAAAAATAATATGTAAACTCTATTATACGGGTTAATTTTCTAGATTAAGGTAATTGGTTCAATTTGCATGAGTATATTATAAATGTTCGGATTCAAGTATTTCAGTGTAACCATAAACTTTCACGTTAATAACCGGTTTCAATAAAAATCTCACTTAAAAATAAATAAGAAACTATCCACAGGGAAGAATAAACCCCATAAAATAGGTAAAAGTACACAAAAATGTACAACTCTTAAAATCAATAACAAAAATTGTCTGTAACTTAAATGATTAATTTTATTTATTTAATATGTGAATTCAAATTTGACATTTTAACGCTAATTTATTTAAAATTAAAGACTATAAATAAACATTGCGTGAAAATATACAATAAACAAATTAACAAGTATAAACTTCTATTATTAATCCAAAATTACGGATAATAATTTTTTTAACTATTTATATTTTATTTATGGTGTAATTTTTAAATGTAAATTATATTTCATTAAATATATATATAAAATAAAAATTAATCACAACAAAGCAACAAAAAAAATTATTATTTTTTATGGTTATTGTTGAATACCCTTGTTAAATCAACTTTTCATTGTATTGTTTCAGGACTATGTGAAGTGGAAACCGGCCAGGGAAACATTGTTTTGGACATCGAGGAAAGCAGAGGTTCCCGTAAGTTAATATATATATAAAAAAAAAATTGTAGCGGTTAAAAAAGATTTGTTTGTTCCGCGTGATGTATAGTAATTGGTCACGGCTTGTGTCAACTGTAGCTTTAAAATACGCGCTTATAGATATAAAAAAAAAATTGATAACGACAGTCCGAGATTTAAAGGATTGATCTGACTGGAAGGTGGACTGTCAAATCAACACAAAAATAAAACTAGAAAGACAATTGTTTTTTTTTAATGTTCTATTGAAACATCCTTTTCTAATATTTATTATTCATATCTGGAGTATTTCAAAAACTTGAAAACCTCTTCTATGATATAGGTTGTTGTAAAATTTCAGCTATCCAGCCATCTAACGAATTCAATTGTGTAAGAGTACAGACCGTGTGAAACTGACGGATTCACGGTCGTGTCTATAATTGCCACTATCATGCGACTGATTTATCCATTATGAAAATAATACAGATTGTTAACCGTTATTTACAAACACGTTGTCAGCTTAAATATCTGTTGATATCAGACTGAAGTGTATGATGTTGACATTAGTTGTACTACATCGCACTCGCAAGCGATTATAAAGTACTTTATTCTTTTAAAAAGATGAATTTTCTCGTAATAGTAATCTCTTTTTAGCGAATTCTTACTTAAGTAAAAATATAATAGCATGTCATATTACCATCATTCATAACTCAGAAATCGTCAGAAATTATCATTACCTGGAAGATCAACGAGTTTTTAAATGTGTTTCTCACGAGCCATCTTTACTGATTTTGAGAAAATATTTTTTTCAACTCGTAATATACTTCAGATCCATTAAATTTTTTTAAAAATGAATGATTTTATTCACTATGAACATATTTTGTAATGAACATATTACACCTGTTGACAGTTGAACATTATTGATAATTTATTAGCGGCTTTTCTTACAATAACGCATGACTCGATGCTTCATATATTAGTAATTTTTATTCTATTGTAAAACCATGAAGAACATTACAGCTTTATTATTTCATAAATTAAACTTAATGATAGGTTAGACAGAAAATTTTAGTTTTTTTCAGCGTGTCTCTGACCGAGGTTTTTTGCAAATACCTATTATTATACTATTAATATATTATTTTCCAGTATGAAAAATAACATTATATGTAGTGTATACTTTCATTAAAATCAACTTATTATTTTTAATTATATTTAGAAATAAATCAAATGATTCGACCATCTCAACTTCCAATCATGGGTGACCCTTTCAATGAAATCACAATGGACCTTGTATTTCCATCGAGAAATCCTTTATTTACATTAATTGGCAAAAGACTACAGCTTATACAATCTTTGGATAGAGATGCGGAAAACTTATCACATATTGTATTTCAGGTAAAGAAATCAATTCATTTACAAGCTTAGAATTATTAAAGAAATTATCATTTTATTGATATTATTTGTATACCAATTACTAGTCAAAATAATAATCAAGTAAAATTTGTATATAGGGGGTTCTCATTTCTTAAAAATCCAATATTTTTCAAAAAGAACACTTATTTTAATATTGTATTATCATGAACTAGTTACTTAACAAATAATGATATTATAACAGGTAACGTGTGTAATAAGATCAAGTGGCAAAAAGAGAACTATCCCTGTTATTGTTCGAACAACAGACATCAACGACAATGCGCCTATGTTTTTAGGTGCGCCCTATCAAGTTACAGTACCTGAAGTGAGTTCTATTTTTATGTAATTATTGTTTGTCTTCTTATTAAACAAATAAACTAGACGCCAACTTATAGTTGAGTACTATTGTTATGAACATTAATATTATGAACATGTTTTAGCTCACTTCTGTCGGCTCATCTGTTGCCTCAGTAAAAACAAAAGATGCAGATACGGGAGTGAACGCTCTGGTCGAATACTTGGTAGTTCCCGGCAATGTACCTGAAGAAGAACTCCAAAAGGGGCGAGTAGGTGACGGAGCGAAATATTTTAAAATGAAATCATCTAATTCAGGCGAAGTAATTTTACAAAAAGGATTGGATTTTGAAAAAATTCAAAAATATTTTGTTACTATACAAGCCATGGTATGTATTTTTTCAAATATATTCTTAAGATTATAGGTATACCATTTAATTTAACAACTCTAGGTATAATTGTGATTTCATATCTTGGCGGTAGTTAATTAATTTTTATGGTAATGATAGATGATTACTTACGAAACTTTTTAATTAATTATACAAGTCAATTATTGCATCTTAGGATGCTTTGAATAGTATTACATTTATGATATTCTCTTGCATACAAGTACTTAGTTAAAGTGGATATGACCAATTTAAGTAAGCCGCTCTAGTTAAACCGATTTTTTTATTTCTCGAAGACCGGTTATTATTTTGCTTTCTCGCATACGTTATTTACCCAGTAGATTTCTTCCTATTGGCCATGTGGCAGACGCAACCTCTGTACAAAAGTAATATGATAAAAAATTTTCCAGACATTCTTCCTACACATAAAATACTATTCAAGATAATATAGGCACAATTATTCATACATTCTCCTTAGGGCATAGCATATTATGAATGAGTCATCAAATGTGCTTAAATATAAAAACTCTATTTTTGTAATTACTATGTTTGCATTGAACCTTACTTATATTTTAAATAATTTTCCAAACAGATTATTAAGTTTTGTAAACAAAGACAATAAAATAATAGAAATTTCAACTAAGCCAATATTGCATAACCGTTTCCGACCCAAATTGTTTTTTTTCACTTCTCAACAATCATAATTATTTCAGTGTCGATGATATAATGAGATAATACATCTCGTAGATCCTAATGTGGATGACTTGTGCATAGATATTATCTAAAAAAAGTGAATTGGACGATTCTAGTTACTTAATAACAATAATTCTCTGTAATGTTGAAATACCTAAAGATCTTAAATTATTTATAATGAACAGAGCGTCGTATATAAGAAGAAAATAGATCAGGGTTTTAATGTCGTTATAATATATTTTGATGTTGTAAATTCACAAGTAGAAAACTTTTGAATTTAATTAAATTAAATCTAACTAATGATGAAAACGTTACAAAATTATGAGATATGAAGAACTAAAAACAATTTTTAAAGTTAAAAATCATTTTAAAAGTATGAATTTTTAAACTTTTTTTCCATTTATTTTTATTAAAATATTTCTAAATTTATTGAGATTTATTTAAATTAGCAACTTGGCCATAAAAGTGGACAATTATATAACATGAAAAAATGTATGTAAACTTTTGAGAAAATGTACAGATTCTTTTTCATAAATACCTCAGTTAATCTTATTTTTTACGCAAACATAAACAATTAAAATATTGCCTATCAAAAAGTGTTTAAATTTTCAAACAATAACCAAATCTAAAATGGGTTTTAAACACTTCTAGTTAACAAGGCAAATATATAATAAAACAATTAGAGCAATGAAAGGACATGTATATGTAAAACGTTCGTATATTTAGGCATTACTGGCACCTAAATGCACGAACACAACCAAATAATTATTCATACAAATACGCATGCACATATTCAGTTTGTATATTGTATAACATATGGCAGTGACAAAAAAACAACGGTGCAGACACGTTTTATTAGTATAACTCACGCGTAAGACCAATAATATTTTTCGATATTTTACAAATGATTCGACGATTTTTGATAATATTTTTCGGTTGGTTGTACTGGGGCGTTCCCCCAGGAATTTTATTTCAATCAAGTGAACTCGATAAATTCTACCCATATTATCCATATTGGATTCCAGAAATGGTTGGTATTGTATATTTGTTTTTAATTTGGTTCTATATTAATTCTTTGATGTAAATCCATGTATCTAAAACAAGTAAATGTTCAGGATCGAGCAAAACACTCTGAAGATCGGCTAACATCTACTACCACATTAACGGTTTCAGTGAAAGATGAAGATGATCAAGATCCGTCATTTATTTATCAAGGTTGTACACTTCAAGATGGAGCTTGTGTTAACCCAGAATATCACACAACTGTAAGTTTCGCTTTATTCCTTTTTTTTGATAATTACAATCATTAATTAACTTAAATAGTAATTTATTTTATTGTTTTTATAATACACGACAATTATACTTTATTTAAACGAAAATGTATACTTACCGGGGTAGCATTTTCTTTGTTCGACGTCAGTTCTTAAAAACTGAGTTAAAATAACTGTCCTGTCACTATCGACCAACACCCTGACGGTTCTTTGAATGTGCTAATGTATTATGAAATTCTCAAGGATATTTTTTAGTTCAAGATCGTTTATCAGACAATAATCTGTCAATACATGGTTATTATGACTGAACAGTCACTTAAGATTTCACACAAGGTATTAATGAACTTTTAGGGTTGTTCAACTATTGTACTAAACTACTTTGTTTGTAACACATACTTAGAACCGTTCAAATTCGGTTAAATGGTTAGCGTACTGTCACAGAATAAATGAAATAAGTAGCACAAGTATATGTCATTAACAATAATTTCTTGCTTAAATGGATTAAGATGCCATAGTTTTAATAAATGTTCTTTTAAAGATCTTAATAAAGAAACGAATTCTAATTATGATGTGATAGATGATAATAATAGAGCGGAAAATTCTACTGAAAACATTGACAGAGTGCTTGCTTAGTGGACTATAAGAAATAGTATTACTTGGCATTAAATGATTTGGTTAACAGTCTTTTGCCTCCTACCCAATATAAAAATTTATCTTAAGATTCCCAAACGTGACTAAAAACTACAATAACGACAGTTAAAAGTAGTAATGGGAAATATTGAATAGTTACTATCGATCTATTCGATAGTTGTCCACTATTCGAACTATTCCACAGTCATTCAAAAACTATTCGAAAAGTAAAAATATTCGATAGTTACAATATATTCGAATAGTTTTTAAAATATTTGATAATTTATGTTAAAGATAAAATATTTGGTGGTATAAACACAACTCAAATAGTTAATCGGTAATTTAAAATATTTGAAAATGCCCATCACTAATTTTTTTTTATTATTAATTGTATCCTATTTATAATCGTAATACCCTGAATAAACAGTTTTAAAAAATCCTATTTAGATCGTTAGTGTTATTAAAACAGCAAAACTATAAATCTGACTATAACTTTACATAAGACCAATATTTTAGAAAATTTAACTTTTTTTTACGAAACATTTTGATGTAAAATGATTATTTCAAAAATTAAGAATGATTTATACTCAAAAGATTAATTTTTGCAAATTATTTTTTTATTTTATTTTTTTTGAGCAAGTAAAAATAATTGTAGACAATTTTTGTAAATACTATTTTAGAAGAAAATATTAAAATCTATAATTTATATTTTATACATTGTTATGCTAAGTGTGTTAGTTTTAAAAATAATAATCAAAAACTGAAAAATTACCTTTTTGAGCGAACTTTCAACCCCGATTCGGACCTGAAGGGGGTAAGTTATCAAAACCAAATTTTACACAAATAACTTTCATATAATAAAAAACAAAATTGGCGGGTATGGAGATTGATCAATGAAAGTTAGTAAAATAAGAGCCACCCTAATAAATACTTGCGACTGATCCCAGTTCGTTTTTTAAAATGCTATAACTTCTGAAATACTAGTTCAAAAGTTGTTATCGATTATTCATTTTATTAATAATATTATTATCTAACCTATAAGTTAGTTAATTATGTATATTACCCTTTGAAAAAATAAAGTTGATACACTTACAACGTATAAGGTATGAATCTAAAACGAGTTTAATAATGAATTAACCCATATTTATCAGTTTTTACCAACGACTCACAAACTAAAAAAAAATAAATGGTTCTTTTTACTATTATTAATTGTATAATAATTTATTTTAAGTATTATTTTCTTATTAAAATTAAGTGTACTTAATAAAAATTTTAGATAGAACTAATCAAATATTTTTTGAATCCATTCGAATATTTTTTAAACCTAATCAATAGTTTTAAAAACTATTTGATAGTTTATGCTAAAAACACACTATTCGGTTGTATAAAAACAATTCGAATAGTTATTGGATAGTTTAAAATATTCAAAAATGCCCATCACTAGTTAAAAGTATTAGAAATGAAATATATCACCATTATGGAATGAAAAACGAGCTTAAAACTTAAATTACCCATTCTACTAAAAAATGTATAATTGTTATTTATTATGGAGTATTAATTTAATTAAGTATAATTATTTTGTAAAGTTCCTAATATTTTTTATTATTATGTATTATTTTTTTTTGTTCATTGTTTTTAAAACAAATTTTTAATAATACTGTTTGTAATTTTTTCATATTGGTATGATTTACTTATATTTTATCTTGGCCCAAATTAAAGGGGGCTAAAGAGGATAGTTCGCAGGGTCCACGGATTTTAAAAATATATCTGGCGACCTAAATATAAAAACATAGTAAATATTTTTTTCGTAATAATTTTTCTTATTTTGAAATTTTTGTGAATCAGCTTGAATTTTATTAATGCATATAACTAGTTGAGGTGGATTATAACATTATAATTAGAAACAGGAGTTGTTTACTAACACTATTAGTAGAACACTATAGGGTCTACATCCTTCATTTATAAATTAGTTCTTTAAAATATTTAGAAATTAATATTTATTATTTTATGAATATATTTATTACGATGAGAGAAATATATTACGTATCTTTTGCAATTTTTTTGTTAATTGCGATTATGGCGCTACTCCTGCCATAAATAGATAGTAACCTATCTCATAAGAGATCTCCGAGGATCATGATGGTCTTAGTCCAGTCCTGATTTTATCTATGTTCCTAGCTCTTTTAAAAATTAATTAATTCCAATGTTTTTGGGAGGTACTAGGTATTTTTAATATTTATAATAGATTATTAATATAAATAGCAGTTTGTTAATTAATTTCATGTGTTGTATAATGTTTTACTCTTTATCTCTTTTATTTGTCAACTAGTTATTTAAAGGCTTGAGGATTTATTCGTTTGAATAAAACATATTAGGCATATCACTAGGTTTTGCAAAATCTAGTAAAGCACAAATTTGAAAACTCAAAAGCTAATATACCACCTTATTTTATTTTTGAGGAGAGGGTGCATTTTTGTGATTTGTCAAAGGCGAAACTAAATCTAAGTATGACTCTGTATTTTAATCATGTATTTTATTTCCTAAAAAAGCAACTCAAAATGAGCTATGGGAATTTTTTATTATTATTTTCTTATTTTTATGCACTTTCCAAATAATTTTAGGACATCGTATTAACGATTAACTTTGTTTCCTTTTCATTCATCATTGTATTTTATATACATTTTACCATTGTTACTCAATAAAGTTTATGGTAACAACAAATTTACTCATAAAACAACTTTTGTAGTGTTTTCGTTAGTATTTTTGTATTTAATTTTTGTTATTTTTTATAATAGAAAAGAAAAAATACTTAGCACCTTAAATTAATTAATTATAACATGGATAATTAATTAAACTTAGTACAGGATCTTTTATTAGTCTAAATGTTTACACAAATAATCTTTTAGACACAACTATAGAAAATAACATTTTATTATTATAACTAGATAAATTTACATATTAATTAGTTTTGTAATATACTAATGAATGGATCTTCCGCTATACATCTTATTATTGTATGGTTATTATCTTGACCTTCGATAATTTCTAAATTATTTCTGACATGAGGATAATTCATATTAAGGTATTCCATTTCTGTATTATTAAATTAATTTGGAAACGTTATAAATACACCAAAAATTATACGTTTTCATAAAAAGATAAATTATAACAGTAATTAGTATACTAAATATATGATTAGTGTCGTAGATACCCACTCTAAAAAGTTCATCTAAAACTTTAATACTCTAATAATTATTTTTTAGCATACTAGCATTTAAAAAGATAGTTTTTTGTTTACAATAATAGTTACACTAAAACATCATGTTTTAGTAAACAAAACAAATTAGTACACCAATATAAAATTTAAAAATAGACCCCTGAATATTAGTTCTAACCTGTGGGCCATAAAACTCAATCGCATTCCATGGGAGATGATTATTTTGTAAAATCAAAACACAAATAAAACAAAATGTAACGAAAATAATTCTTAACTAACATGAGTAATGTTATTTTTATTATAGTTATATAACTCTATCAACTTTCTTTAATTCACTTGAGCAAGAACTTAATAAGAACTTAAGCCATTCTGGCTGTTTCTATTAACTGAGAATAATTTGTATAAGCATTTAGAATAGCAAATATTTATCTGAATATGTAAATCTAAAAATTATTCAATATGATAACAACATAAAATTTTCTATATTTCATTCTGGGAATTCTACATATTTATAATATAAGTATATATATATAGTTAATATAAAATACAGTGATTATTTTATTTTTATAAGAAAATAGTTATTAAGGATAATAACAAAATTCATTAGATAACAATCAATTACATAAAATTATTCTGTGGTTATGAAAATTTGAATTACATTAAGAAATATTAAAATACAAAACAAAAATTCCTGTTTTAATAAAATAATTAATTTTCAAAATATTTTTGGTAATTGAGAATATAACATAAAATATATTTTAAAAATAGTCCTATATTGTAAAAATTGCTTAAAAAAAAAGTTTAAAATGTTATGTAAATCATAAGTTATATGAGTTGTCAGTTAGATCTGTTCCACTTTGTATACATATATATATTTATTAGGGTTCGTCAACGATATCGATAATTCGATTCTATGTCGATATTGCCGTTTTTTTTTAATTTTTCCCGCGATGTCGATTATTTTTGTAATATTTCAATTATCGAAAAAAAAATGATAATAAAATAATTGTTTGAATTTTTATCACTTTATTATATATATATTATTTGATATTAAGCCAAAAATAGTTCGTGATAATATTGTTAATATTTTTTGTGTATTAAAATATATTATGAAATATAGAATTGAAATAAGACGAAAAATGATATTTATTGTTACAAAATTCTATTTTATGATTAGGTATTTTATGAAATTGTTGTGTTATCCCATTTTTAACAAACACGAACAAAGTAATGTATGAGAAGGAGACAAAGAATTTTCAGAAATAGAATATTTACAGCGACAACTAGTTGAAACTGAATCTGAAAAATAGAATGAAATTATTGAGCCCAAAAAAAAATCCCTATAAGATGATAGAGATGAAGATAATGATGTTTTATTCTGTAAAAATTTAAATTTTATTTTTGAAAAGAAGATAAATTATTTTCAGTTATTACAAAGCAATACAAAAATATAAACAGCACTTATAATTTTTTTTTTTAATAATTATTATTTAAAAGCAAAACACTGAAACTATAATACTATTATTCGATAAATAACAATTTCATCTGTTTAATATAACCAATATATAATGATAAAGTCTTATAACAAAAAAAAAAACGTATTTCCTTATAATAAAAAGTAATTTGAAAATATTTGATTACCGTTGAGATATAGCTATTATCTATATTTTATAATATTAATATCATTATCCAATTTGGTTGGTTACGTACTATAAATTTAAAAAAATAAAAATTGTCCCGACGATCTATCTTCCATATGTAAATGTTTGGTGTAGTTAAAAAAAAATGCTATTTTTGTAATAAAATTTTCAATTTATTATTTTTAATTCCTATAGCTTTTTGAATAGTGTATGAAACAATACAAATTTTTTATTTTGTTTTTAATTAATTTTTTTTATGTTAATACTTGTTTTTTATTTTTTATATTAATATAAAAATTATAGGTGATAGAAAAAATCTAACTGCAGATTTGAAACGAGCGCGAAAANAATTTTTTATTTTGTTTTTAATTAATTTTTTTTATGTTAATACTTGTTTTTTATTTTTTATATTAATATAAAAATTATAGGTGATAGAAAAAATCTAACTGCAGATTTGAAACGAGCGCGAAAATTTTATCAAGAAAAGTATTTTTGACTATAATGTAAATTTCTTGTGACCAATGTATTTATTCATAATTAACAAAAAATAATTTTCTAATAAGTTTTGCATTAAGGTCTTAAATATTTATGTACGCTTGCCATTAAAGTAACAAAATATACAACTACTTTTTAATTTTTATAATTTCTCCGTAAAAATTATAATATTAAATTGTTGAATATTAATTTTATACTAAATTTCAGTACTTTAATAAGTATTTATTCATATATTAGACTAATATATCGAAGAACTACTAATCAAGATATTATAAATAAAATAAATTGTTGAAATAATCAACTAATTTCTTAAAATTAAACACTATATATTTGCATCGAAGCGTTTTTTATAATAGTGATTTTAATCACGATTAGATATTATCTATACTTTTCCAACTATGCCACGTCCTCATTTGCCGTAACTTCATTGTGTGCTACGGTTTTTTTTTACTATTATTTTATAGTTATCGGGTCGATACAAACTCTTAAAATAACCAATCAATTTTACAATGGATTAAATCTAAGTTAAAAGGTCCAAGTTAAAGTAACTTAACCTTCAAAATTAAATTGTGCAAATGCCCAAAAAAACTAGCGTATTTTATAGTAACATCAACTGGAAAGCTTATTTTTGTTTTTAAACAATAAAATAGTTAATCTAAAAGGAAATAACATATTATAAAAATAAATATAATGTGATATATTTTTAAGAAAAAAGTAACAAATTTGCATAAAAAATACTATAGAAAATTAATAAGCTTACAGTTTTAAATTGTATAGTTAATAAATAGCATAAAAGCTGATGTTTATAAATAACACTGTGTTTTAAGATGGAATATATATAGACACTGATTAAAATTATATCTATTTTAAATCCACAACTTAAAAACAAAAAAGAAAATTAAGTTATAAAATAATTTTTTTCTGATGTATTATTAAATAATTTATTTATAAGTAATTTTGTTGAACAAGTGTTTGTCAACCATAAAATTAAATCAGAGAATTGTACCGACTAAATTGCGAATAATAAAAAGTAATTGCAAACATTTATGTGGTGTTTGAACAATATTTTAATAATATAAATAGAGTATCATAAATTATAACACAAATTAAATGAATTTTTATAAAAGCACAAAATCATTTCGATATTTATAATTTTTAAATGTTTACTAGAGCTACGTGTTCTTGTTTATTTTGAATAATTATGAATATTATGATCGTAAGTATGGAAAGCATATTATTTATATTTTTTTCTATCATAATGGCTAATGCTGATAAATTTAAAAGTATTCCTGAAAAGTCATTGAATATAACACAAAACTTTTCAAACCTAGTGCCAAATCATCTAAATACGATTCAAGTAGAGACAACAAATATTTTTGGAAATGACTTTTGCACTGGTACATATCAGGAATGCATAGAATCAATTAAAATTGCACGATCAAATATTTTTGAAACTATAAAAAAAATATTGTACAATGATTTAAAGAGTTCTTTAGAAAAGTACTCTGTATGTATGTATTCTGTATTAGATACTATGATAAAACGTAACCAACCGATAAATAAAATATTAAAAACCATAAAAATTTCTAATTCAAAGGCTTATGCACTTTTGCAGTTTCTATTTGACAATGGTGTCAATATTAATGACGTTTTGACTTTATATATTTTGTATAGTGATTTAGATTACATTTTTAAAGAGTCTCATCCTAACAATAAAGATATATCAACTCTGAGACAGTCTATAGATTATATAACAAAGTCAAACCCCAATACTGTAATACTATCAGATGAAGACTTCGAATTAAAATTGAAGGAGCTTTTGCTTATTAAAGAGCAAATAGACTCGCTAAGCCTAGGACCACTACAAATAAATGATAATGAAAAATGGATGACTGCTAATATTTTAAAGTGGAAAAAATTACTTTTATCCAATACTTCAGTTAGCAAATTGATTCGTAATGAAATTAGTGAAAGAAATGGGAAAAGTGTGAATGAATGGTTCCACGAAATTAAAACAACGACTGATGCTAGAGAAGTATCGTTTTTCTACACAGAAGTTAGCAACATATTAGTGAACTATGTTGGGAAAAAAATAACTTTGGTACTAATATTAATAAAAAAATTCTTAAGTACATTACTTGAAGACACAAGAAAAATCAAGGAAGATTATAAATCAGATATTTTGAAAACAAACAATGACCAAAACAATTTATTTAAAAATGAAGATTTCAATGATTTTATAGATGTAGTAGAATATCAGAATGAACGTATAACTGATAAAGATGACATAATAAGGGATATCAATAGAAATTATAAAAATAAACAATATAACATAGCTCACTCTTTAAATAAATTACAAAATAATATTCATTATTTCATATTACAAGTTAATACTTTTATCGATACAATGAATTCTAATCGTAGAATTTCTTCTGCTATGTCATTGAACCCACTTTTAAGCGACTTAAAACTAGTAAAAAGTTTAATGAAACATAGCTATAATCCAATTTCAACAGGTGAAATTTCAAGCATTTTAGGAAAATTAAATACTCTACTAATTGAAACAGATAAAGAAAATTCGATTTTAAATTGTCACTCTCAAAATGATTCTACTATATTAATAATTGAAGATAATGCAAAACTTATAGCTAATATTATTAAGTTGATATGAACCCCGTAAAAGAGTAAAATAAAAAATATTAATAAGATAAATTAATTCTTTCTGTGTGTATAACTCATACTAAAATTTAAATAATAAATTAAACGAAATTTCTTTTACTTTAAAATTTATATTTTTGTCATCATAAATTTATTAATATTGTAATCTTACTTTGTTCATTCATATTTTGTATTATTTAAATAAAATCCTTTTCATTTGGTATCGTTTAGTGCTGGTAACTATATTAAATGTTCACATATATTTCTTGTTTACATATTTAGTTCAAAACGCATATTTATAGTCCATTTATAATGGAGTTTATCATATATCTTTGAAAACACATTATACATGTTTTTAAAACTATTTATTAAAATTCTGTATACAAAAAATTGTACTTAAAAATTATTGCAATGCAACTACACTTTTTAACACACACACATAATATGTTTGTGTGTTAAAAAGTGTACATATATATATATATATATATTATATATATATGTACAGTTACAAAATCGTGTGACAATAATAAATAAAAAAATTGAAAAACTTTTATGGTAATAGTTTTTATTGTTTCTATAATATTAATTTAAATGTAAATAGTAACAATTAAGATAATTAAAAGTAATCTAAATTGGATTTTCTTAAAAGTTGTTAATAAGGCAGAAAGGTGTACCAAACTTTGTAAGGAAAAAAAATTATTTGAAGCAAAGCTTGCGGTCTATTTCACAACATTACAATTTTATTTTTGCGTTTTTTATCATTTAAAAAACATTGCACAATTCAATTTGAACAATGTAAAAACCTAAGTGAATCACGGTTACTAAACTAATAATATAACAGACGATAAATTATCTTGGTTAATTAGCACATGATACAAATGAAGTCTAACTATCGTTTACACAGAAATTGAAACATTTCTCCCATGTAAAATGTCGTTATTTATTTTGAAAAAATCAGTGCTAAGAACAAGATTTCTACTGTGTCTTGAACTGTGAAACGTATTTCCTGACAGATTCACTGCACTCCATTGTTACTCGAGATTTACCTACATATACAAAAATTAAATTATCCATCTAGAAATAACCACAAATATAATAAAATGATAAATTACATAATATAATAAATATTATTATAATTTGTTTCAATTTATTATTGCTCAGTTAACTACTTATTATGTTTTTTTAAAAATATGAAAGATTTAATTACGATTCACATTTAATCTTACCCATCATAGAATTTTTTTTTTAGTTACTATTATCGCAATCAAGTTCAACTATTTTTTATTCATTTTTACTAAAAATAAATAAATACAGAATCCGTTTCAAACCTTGCTTGAAAACTTTTATTAACCAAATGAATAATATTAGACAAAAATATTTTTTATTGATATTTAGGCTACAATTAATCATTTTATTTATATATAACTTCGTTGGGCCGTAATAGTTTTACTCAATCATGTTTTATAAAATTTAATAAATAACACCCAACTCACCTAGCTATAGCATTTATACCTAGCATATAGCAAGTAAATTTTCCTTATCATTCGTTTTAAATGATTTATAACATTTCTATTGCATACACTATATGATTAAATGTATGAATCGTTAAACGAATATAATTGGGCATCAAATATTTCATGTATAATTCAATGAATATTATCCACTAACTACGTTGTATATTGCTATGATACTGAATATATTAATTATTATTTAAGTTAATACGCAAAATGTATGTAAAATCGATTTTATAGATATAAAACATATTGATTTTACATACAAAATTATGTTCAATATAATTTTCAAATTTATTTTTCCAAAAGTTGCAATATTACACTAATCCTCTTTTACCCGGACACTATAGAATTATTAAAAATACAATACCACATTTCCACAAATTAAAAAAAAATTACTATTATTGTTTATTGTACATATAAAATAAAAATATTCATAAAATTTGAATCTATTTTTTCTTTAGATTTCAAGTGGCGTTAATTCTGGAGTATTAACTATACGACCAGAGAAGATTCAAGCTGTAGATGGTGATTCTTTAAATTATCCCGTTAAATTTTCGTTTGTTAATGGTATACCTTCATTTTATTCGGAATATTTTACAATTGACTCTCAATTTGGTACGGTTAAACAAATAAAACCAGTGGAATCAGCATTGGCAAAGCAATTCGTGATTACTGTTAAAGTAAGAATTAAACAGCTAACTCAATAATTCATCTCTTTACATTATTAATATTACTTAAGGCTGAAGAGGAATCTCCTAATCGTCGTGCAACAACAGCAAAACTATATATAGATGTAAAGCCTATAGATATCAATCCCCCAATCATTCATAGTTCTGCATCTGGAGATGGATATGGATTTGTAGAAGAAAATTCACCAATAGGTACAAAAGTTGTGGATAAAAATGGTAACCCAATTCAATTTACAGTTACAGATGATGATTTGGTGAGTTATGTCAAATTAACAAAATATTAAAATTAATTGTTCACAATGTTTTCTTGATATTTAATCCATATTATACTTATTTTTTAGAATTCAAATGACCCAAAGATCACTTATTCTTTTGAACTGACAACTAATTCATTCAACATAAATAATGATGGTTATCTTTTTGTCAATGAAGATAAATTGGATAGAGATCCGCCAAACCCGGGAAAATATCGTTTTCAAGTATACTTTTTTATTTTATTTTTAGTTAATAAAGAATTAAGCAATACCAAGGCTTTAATGGCCTCATTTTGACCTTGATTCTAATTTTTTAAAGAAATTTATTACTTATAATGGTTAAAATGACCATCATACGATTATTATTTAAACCTAAACACTAGTAATTGTTTGTGAAAATAATATTAAAAAATATTTACTACTATTTAAAAATAGTTTTTTCTGATGCATCTCATATTAAGTTTATGCGTATATTGTTTTAAAACCCAGAGACTTATTTTCAAAATTTAAACTTGAAACTTTCACCAATTATTTTATAGAAAAGATATTTTTTCCTGTAATAAAAAAGTTTTAATATCTATTCTCTCTTTCAAATTTAACTAAATTATTTATGTACAGATTGTTGCGAGAGAAATTAATGGACACGCTGGTAGTATTCCTTACTCTATAACAGTGTTTTTAAAAGATGTAAATGATAATTTCCCTCGGATACCAATGATATCTCCAATCACTATTCAAGCTGGAAATTTAAAAAGACAGCTTGTTCAAGTAGATTTTTAAAGAACATCTAACATTATTTTGATGTTATTGATAAAATTTGTGTTTTAGATCAAAGCTATGGATATCGATGAAGGTCAAAATTCAAATATAACATACAGTCTTTACCACGTGTCTAACCAAGGATTTAATAAATTTTACATTGATCCGGTGACAGGATGGATTGAATCAACCGGCAGAATGATGGCTGGTGATCAATACAGTATTACTGTTCAAGCGACAGATTCCGGTGGTTTATATGGCCAGGGAATTGTTGAAGTTATTGTAATAGCTGGACCTAATACTAAACCACCTGCATTTTCACAATCTTCTTACGAAGTTACAATAAGTGAAGGATCACCTATTAACACAACAGTAATTGAGCTTAAAGCAATAGATCCTGAAAATGACCCCGTCTTTTATTCGATTTTATCTGGTAACGATTTAAGACAGTTCGCAATAGGTGAGAAAACTGGAATTATTAGTGTAATAAGAAAATTAGATCGGGAAGAACTCACTCGTTATCAACTGGTAAGTAAAATTTTTAAAACTTACCAATTATATTCACAATACATAAAATTATTATTGCAATTTACATATAAAATTTACAGTTAATCAAAGCCCAAGACGAAGGTGGTCTATCTAGTACAACTACATTAAACATAAAAGTCAGCGATATTAATGATAAAAATCCTGAATTTATTGGATTACCGTATGAATTTTCTGTGGAAGAAGGCGTAGATGGAGCTCCAGTAGGTAAGGTAGAAGCTGTAGATGGAGACGAAGGAATTAATTCAGTTATTCATTATTCAATACCTGATGACCTACCATTTCTAATTGATGCAAATTCTGGACACATACGAACTGCCATGGCTTTAAATTACGAAATGACTAACGTAAATTCTAATATAAATAAATATCATTATTAATTAAATGGTAATCTTTAGCAAATATTTTGTGAACTTTTTTAGGAATACAAATTCGTAGTTACTGCCCAGGATGGTGCACCTGATCCACGGATCGGTACAGCTTCAGTGACTGTTTTAGTTAAAGATACTGAAGATGAAATACCAACTTTCCGTAAAACTGTGTATGAAAGCAAAGTTCCAGAAAATACTCCTGATTTTATAGTGACTCAAGTACAAGTAAGAAAATATCATTCATTATTATTTACAAATGGATTTTTATTAATTCAATTGATTAATTTATATTTTAGGCAGACGATCCCGATACAACTAAAAAAGTGACATATATAATAAAACAAGGCCCTTCAGATTTATTTACTATTGATCCAATAACTGGTATCATCAAAACGTTACGAGGCTTAGATTACGAAAAGGATAGCCAACATACCTTAATAGTTGGTACATTGGAAAATCTCAATCAATCACCAGGTGCAACTACCAAAGTCATCGTTAATGTAGAAGATCGTAACGATATTTCCCCCGTGTTCTTAACAATTCCTTCTCCAATTACTTTAGACGATGATGTACCAATTGGTACCAAAGTTACCACGCTTATAGCGACTGATGCAGATGGAACATCACCCGGAAATAAAGTATAAAAAATCATATTTATTTTTGTATACAAAACTTATAGTTTCTTATTTAGGTACGATACGAGTTAAATGGTCAAGGAAAAGCTTTAAAATATTTTCACATCGATCCTGATCTTGGAGTAGTGTATGTCCACGGTGATCTTCAGAAGGAACCTGATAATGAATATCAGGCAAGTTAATTATTTTTGCTTTTTATACTTAGTAAGCTACTAACAATAAATCGATAACGTTTATAGATCGATGTTAAAGCTTATGATTTGGGTGAACCTCAATTGTCTTCAATAACTTCGGTAACGGTTTTTATCAGACGCGTTACGACACCTACTCCAGAATTGGGAATGGGGTTCTCTGACGATTCTTACAGTGCTCGTGTATTAGAGTCTGCAGCAGCTGGTACTCTAGTCAAAATCTTAACAGTAGTTCATCCTAGACCTTCTCACCCTCTGCCTCTTATTTGTACTATCATATCAGGAAATTCTGAAGGTATTATTTCAGGACTATAAAAATAAATTATTTGATAACACTTTTTTGTGTAAAGGCGTATTTTCCATAAATGTTACAACTGAAAAAAATTGTGAAGTGCGTTTAAAAGACTCAAAACTAGACCACGAACACGCAGACAATTACCAATTGAAAATTCGACTAGATACTCTTGATGGAGTTGTTAATCCTGCGAAAAGCATTACAATAGTAAGACTAAAATCTATAATAACAATAATTGTTATTTTAAATAATCCAATTTTACTTTTGCTTTTGGCAGTTGAACGTTCAAGTTATAGATATAAACGATAACAGTCCCATATTCATATACCCTGACAGTAGCAAACATTTTGCTAAAAATGCCTACTATGGCGCGATATCTGCTGATAAAGAAGTAGGTAGTACAGTATTAAGAGTAAAAGCCGAAGATCTAGATGGAGGAACATTGGGTGATATTCGTTATGAACTTGTTGAAGACGAAGACCAAAACACAACAGACGGGCCCTATTTTTCAGTAGACCCTGAAACAGGAATTATTAAAACTTTACGAACACTTATCGACGTACCTACTCAGTCATTGCCTTTCAGACTCGTAGTGACTGCTAGAGATAATCCTGAAGCTACTAATCCTAGTGACTTTAATACTGCCCAAGCGCACGTAGTTGTAAGTTATCAATTTATTTAAGTGTTTCGCAATTGTTTACTATGTTAAATTTACTACTTTATTCCAGATAAATGTCATAAAAGACGAACACCGAATAGTAATGGCAATCGATGGCGCTCGCCCAGACGTTGTAAAAGCTTCTGAATCAAAATTGATTGATGTATTAGAGAATAGTTTAAAATTGATTGTAGGCGGTGAGAAAGTTCTGGCTAAACAATATCGGCGTCGAGAAAATCTTACTGTTGAGACTGATCCGAGTTCTTCGGACTTTTGGTTTTATATAATAGACCCGACGACTGAAACTATCCTTGAAAGGAACAATACTCGAGTAGCTAGGTAAGTAAAAAAAAAAAAACAAAGAAATTTACAGTAAATATTTTAATTACAATGTAATTTTTAAAGGGGAATTTTAAATAAAAGCTCTATGGGAAACATCACTTCTACAATTGTTGAAAAACTACACATTGTTGCAACAGATATCCATCCACCTTTGCAACAGCAGCAAGTGAGCAGCCGACCACAAATTGCGGGAATAGCTATACAATGGATTGTATTTCCGTACACACTAATTTTAATAGCTGCCCTCATCCTCATTCTCGGCATTGCTGGTATCATATATATTTGCATATCTTGGTCAAGGTATATTTGTAACAATATTAAACCACATTTTTTAATAATGTAGAATAACTTCTCATAAATAATTATAGGTATAAATCGTACAAAGAAAGAATGGCAAGAATGTACGCCACTCAAAATTATGATCCTATTTTTGTTGAACCAAATATGAAAGAATACGAGGTACAGGTAAGATTTGTTTAAACTAACCCAATTTTTTATTAAATAATATTTGAAAATTTTTAATGAAAGTATTTCTCTTGTTAGGTGTTACAAATGAGCGTACCTATCGATGACAACGACAGTTATAATGATTTACAACTAGACTTTAGCCGAAAAAATCATACGTTTACTATGGAAAACGTTGGTTACATTACAAAAGAGAATGTAGATAGTATCGGTAAATTGTTACTTATCATAAATATATTAATATATGATATATAATTATTAATATTTTAATTGTTTTTAATAATATAAATAATACATTTATAGATGGCCACAGTCCAGTGAGCTCGGAAGCGGCTACCACTGCTAGAACATCCAGTATGGGACGTAATAGAGCTAATGGTAGCGGAACCAGCACATTTGGCCGCATTAATCAAGCATTTGATTCAGATGGCATAGGAGATACAACTGCAGTAAGCTCAACCAATGGAAATGTAACATTCAGAGAAAAAAAAGAATTTGGTAGGCCATTACACAATGGTAATGGCATGACTACTTTCAACCGAAAAAACGTTGAAGTCACCACGGAGTTATAATGTAACCCTTAATTTTGTTATCCTATCGAAAAAAACTGAAAGGTTGCATGCATATGTATTCAGTATTTTAAATCGTATCTAGTCTCTCTTCATATGATTGTATAGAAATATATGTATATATCTATGCTTGAAAGTCTAATGTTCAGCTTTTTCTTCCACTCATTACGTTTTTTTCGACAAATTGTACGACTGAGATTTAATAATAATCTTTCACTTTTGTCCCTCTATATATTTATATGATGTAATCAAATATTTATAATTTAAATTAAAACAAGAACAAAAAATTTGAACATAGAAATAGTTTATAATATAAAATAACAATTAATAAACAAGATTTCCGAAATTTTGACTTTTAACTTTTATAAAATGTTAAAACTTTATAAATTTTTAAACGATATTTCTCATTTTTATCTATATACTATGATATAAACATATGATGAGAAACATATTTTTAATTACTTAAAATTGAAAAACTTAGTATAATTTGCATTATTTCTTGTATATTACTAATTACCTAATCAAATTTGATACATAATTATACCATTAAATAACTTCTTCAATAATTTTTTATTATTCAGTTAAAAAATTTCTGAGTCTAAATAACAAATATCAATACATAAAATAAGTACATGTTTCACACCTAGATCTAATCTGTTGCAACAAAAAATTATTTTTTTATGTTAAACAATATTTGGTAAATGTTATTTTTAAATTGTGGAATAATGCAAACCTATTATATTTTAGTTACAAGTTTTAATCTGAAAGATATGATGAGTTTATTTATACAAATTAACTGATAATACTTACAAAAATAATTTAAAATAAAGTATGTTCAAATTAAAATACGTAAACTATTTTAAATCTTTAAATAAAACGGATATCTCTTTGCAAATTAATCGTATTATAGAAATAGTATACTGCCATTTGATAATTAATTACCTTAAAAATTTAGATTTTAAGTATCTAAACCATGTCATACATTTTATAGAACCAAAAAGGTTTTTTAAATTTATCAAAAATTGAAACAATGTAAATAATACAAATAATTATACTTAAATGTTCCTATAATGTATGAATTATTTTTCGCTCACACAATTAAAAATTTATTTTATATTAAAAATGATTTTGTTCCTTTCAGAATATCAAAAATCAATTATTGTTATAATTTTTGTTTTTTTAATAGGATATTTTTTCAATAAATTCAATTAAAATTTATTTAGAATATATATAATTCAATATTTAAATTAATTTAATTGTGTATTTTTATAAAAAATTTGTTTGTAATGAGTATGAATAATTTATGTATATAAAAAATTTGCTCACAATTATATCAATGGTGACCAATATTGTATAGTAGCCAAGTGGTTAACAACACTTGATAGAAGTTTACATGAAGCCATATTTAATTATTGTATAATAGAGCTTTCCTCATGCTCAATTTATTTGTAAAAATAATACCATAAACAAATAGGTAAAATTAAACCATTGTAAATTATTATATGTATTTTTAGTTGAATAGTGATTAATTTAAATTGTTTTTTATGACTTTAATTTTATAATTGAAAATAAATGTTAATATAAATATGTTTTATAATTTTTCTTTTTTTATATATATTACTCCAGAGAATACCTATGAAAAAATAAATAAAATATTTTTTTTAAAAAGTATCTAGTTTTCATTTTAAATACTAAATTAGATTTGTATTCTGTTCATAAGGGTAACTTTAAAATAAAAAGTTTAGATAAAATAAAATTAATTTTAAAAAAAATTTTTATTTTGTGTAATGTTATAAGACAATGTACACCTTTTAAAGAAAGATTATTAAAAACAAATAAAATTACTAAAAGTATTTTCTTGATGTGGTATATAGTTGTATATTCATGAATTAAATATTTATTAAAATATATATTTAAATCTTTGATTTGTCATATTCAATTTTTTGTTTAGCTTCTTGCAGTAATTGCTCATCTTGTTTTCGTAGCCTGGCTAATTTACCATCCATATGAAGACCATGCCTTGCAGCCCTGAAAGCAAAGATAAAAATTAAAATATATATAGGATAGTTCAGAATTTTCATTTCACCTTCTTCAAATTCTTGCTATATTAAAAATAAAACTATACACAAAATAGTAAGATGTCATAGTTTTATATCATTATTATTCAAGTTTTAATAAACATCATTTTTAAGCTATCTTTTCATTAAACTTTTTCTCCATTTTTACTTTTGTACATATTTTGATATATCAGTATATACATAATGCTTGCTAACATTTTTTGAGATTTTCCAAATTAGATTTATTTACATCATTTTTTTTTTTTAATAACAATTTTTGTATAAATACTGTTCAATAAACACAATCCAAGATTCATCAATATGATTAACTAACTGTCTCAAATTTTTTATTTCTGCCCTCATTTTACTTTTTACATTTATATTGAGAATTTTAAAAAAAGCAGCCAAGCATAGAGGATAACAATACAGTAACAAAATAGATACAAAAGTAAAAATATTAGAAAAAAAAGTAAAGTTGAGCGAAAAGAAAATTAATAATAGTATCCCTTAAATCTTGGAAAATGATGATTTCAAACCATTTTGTGCCTAGCTTTTAATAGTAAACATTTTTTTTCTATTTTCCATCTTTATAGATTTTTACTTTTTTATAGTACTTTTTACAGGGATTAAAAACAATATTTTTTCAAAAATTTATATTTTACTCAATAAATTCAACAATTTTATTTGTTAAAGAATTTTTTTACAAATACAGATAACTTAATTGGTTTGAAACAATTATGTAAAAATGTTGTTACATTAGTTTTCAATTAATTAACATCTATTGGAACAATATTTTTGTTTTGTTTTGGAAAAAACAATAATATTGTTCTAAAACCCATAACTTAAACAAAAATTAATTAAATTCACTTTTTTTCATTTACTTAAAAAAATTTCTTATCCATAAAAGTATATAGAAATAATAATATAATAAACAAAATTACTGAATAAATAAAATGTAATATTTAAAAAAAAAAACATGTTTTTCATGGTTTAACCTACTTATGACAAGTAACTCTGCCACATGCTTGGAAAAGCTGTTCGTCAGTTAACTCCAACTTAACACTAGTTTTGATAATTTTATTTTTCTAAAACCAAATCATACATGTATTTATGAAGTCATGTAAATTATAATAATATAATTGTAAAATAAAATATTTTACTAAAATTGACTGTGTATCAAATTGATTTTACCTTTTCTTTCTTTTTATTAATTTTTTTTGATTTAATAATGATGCTGCCATTCTAAAATAAAAATATATATTATTGATTTAACATTAAAAATATAAATAAAAACTATTAATAAAAAAATTATATTTCTGAAAATACATAAGCTAAATATTTATATAAATAAATAACTTAGTTAGAATTTTCCTTTTAAGGGTGATGAGTTGATAATTTATCTAACATAGGTAGTTTAACAAGAGTCTTTCATAAATTAACACATCAACACCAAATATTAGATTCTTGTATGGCTAAGCACATTTGTGTTTATTTTAACACATACTCTTATTATATCACTGACACTAATAATAAAAATTAACTCAACTTCACAACATTGTATTTTAGTATTATATTTTTTATATATTAGTAATAATTTTTTATAATCTTCAAAGTTGAATAAATGTTTAAATGTGTTACTTACATTTAAACACTTTTAGTTACATAATAAAATCATTGAATCTTTAAAATAAAATTTTCAAAAGTTAATAAAACATACCCACCTTATTTTTAACATCTAATGTGTCAGCAGTACTGTTATACAAATTAGTCCACCACTTATCACTATAAGATTCAGCATTGGCTTTATCAAATCCGATACCTGTCTGATCAAATTTAAGACTTGCCTTGACAGGTACTACTATTCCATCTCCTTTCTTACCCAGTCCTTTACCTTAGGTAATTATGTACAAAACATATATATTATTTCAAAAATATAGAGTTGTATCTTTAATCTAAATAATTGAATTTTATACGATGTATCCAAAAACTTGATTATCATAAAACGTTTTTAATAACTTATCTGATTTTGCATCTAATTAAAAAAAACATCGAAAGTTTTTTCATTAAGTTCCAATTCAATAATTAATTTTTTAGGCTAAATTAAATAATTGTCATAATCACAGACGGATTGTTAATATTTTTCAAAAGAAAATCTTAAAAATGATAAGTATTTGAAATACTTAAATAGTTTAATATCAAGGTCTAATCTGTTTATTGTGTACAAGGGTGATTAATTTATCATGAACCATTTAATTAGTTGAAAAATAAAAATTATATTGAGCATTTTTTTTAGTTTCATGTTTCACAAAATTATTATTTTAACTATAAGTGTGGCTAGCTTTAAAAGAATCACTCTGTGTTGTATAAAATATTTTTTTAGTATACATTTTTGAACTTTGTAACTTAAATTAATAATAATAATATTGTTTATCATATGTAATAATTGGTTGGTTTAATTATTTTTATTATTAAAATTTTAAAAAGAAAAACCTATTTATCACTATATATTTTTGAAAATATTGCATAAGATATAATTATAAAATCACCCAGTATAAACCTAAAAAAAATAAATAGGTATTGAAGAGAGGAAAATTTTTATGTTTTGTTTTATCTGCCTTATTTAAGTATAATTTTAGAATGACACTATCAAGAAATAAATAAAATAAATTAACAATATTTCTTCTTTAACCCAATTACTAAATTGACACTTTAATTTTGTGTTCCTTAACATTAATAACTCTCTCTTGCCCACAGCACAATTTATATACATATGTAATGCTTAAAATAGTATGATGAGAATCCTCCCTTCACTTTAGTCCTGTTGTAAATCCATTACTGTTTATGATAAAGATATATAATTATAATTTTTTTTTTTTTTATAGCATTAAGTTTAATTTTTAGTATAAATAACATTTCAATATGATATAACTTATTTTATTAAATGAACAAAATATTCTCTAATATCCAATCATGTTAATTTGCTCTCTGTCAATCAGTTAATATTTAATTTTACTTTTAGACTTACGAATTTTTTAGAAGTAAATAATAACAACATTTAACAAATCTATCAACAATTTTTGTTTTTAATGCTATGAAAAATATGTATCTTAAGTGATCAATAGAATTAGGGAACAATAGCCCTTTGTTATGTAATAATGTACTTAAAAAGATAGTTTAATGAAAGGAAAAAATTAGTATCTAATATATGGAAAACATAAAAATAACCAGAAATATGACCATCTTCATATGCACAGTTGCTATTTTGAATAGTTAATAATAGACTTAAAAATCTGACACTCAATATCAACTTTTTACAGGATATCAAACTATAAAATAAAAAAAAATTACTTTTCAAACAAATTTGTTTACTTAAATGCTGAAAAATAATTACATAACCAAGTAAAAAATATACAATTAAAAAATGTTATATTACCTAAAACTTTTGTAAATTAAGGTAAAATAGAGAATTGAAAAAGAAAGTTGTAGATTATGAGCTTTGCATTATACATTAACATTATATGTTAACACTATAAACCATAATTTTTATGATTATTAACTCAGTCGACATTACAATATTTACAATGGTACAAATAGGTATGAGGCACAACTGCCATTATCACAAAATCAATATTATATTACATAGCTTCATTTTATGGGATGATAATGCTCAGCTATTAATAATATTTATGTGTACGAGTATATACTAGGAGGTTTACTCGTTTAGTGAATAATAATAAACTTCTTATGTCTATAAAAATAATAATAATAAAACAAAAGAAAGGCACTTAAATTGTTAACAACAAAACAAAAACAAAAGTGTCGGGAAGAGCATTATATTGCACATCGACACATACCGTGATCGAAACAATTTCACTACTTAATATTTTTACTGAATTTCATAATTTATTTTAATAAGGTTTGTTCAATATTTGAAATTAACACTTTCAAGCTTTAAAATTAAAAACAGAACACCTACACAAATTAAAATAATTATTGTTAATTTTAGATTGTCATTAAAAAAAAAAAATTAATACAGAATTGTTTCGACTTTGGTTTACAAATAGTAAATACTAACTCTGACTGTGACCAATACCAGAATCAGAATCTCTTTGTTCCTTTCGATTTTTTTTAGTTGTCAATTCCGCAGGACTATGTTCTCTTTTAACTCCTCTATCTTCTTTACTAATTTTAATACGAAGACTACTACCAGAACTTGAACCACTGCCTCCTATTCGTTCTTTTGCAATTTTCAATTTAATTCCTCTAGGAGGTGAATGAGGTGTAGTTATCACAACAGGTGGAATTTGCTTTATTTTTTCTTTCGGAATTGTAATTCTAATTGGTTCCGGATCTTTATGCTTATCTTTATGTTTGTGTTTATGATGATCCCCATCCTTATGTTTTTTTTCTTTTTTGTGTTTCTTTTTCTCCCGTTTTTCTTCTTTATGTTTCTTTTTCTTTTTTTTATGAGTATTTAAACTAGATTGTTCACCATCAATTTCTTCTACTCCAGTAGGACAAACCGGATTAAGCATAAGCTCAGGGTCAAATTTAGGCTCTAGTTCTTGAAGACCAGGACTTCCTGGTTCAGGCTTTATAACTGCTTCTGTTTCAGAAACAGGAACATGAGGTTTAATATCTTGGGGTTCATCTTCTGGAACTGGACTAAATATTGATGGTTTTTTTACCTTTAGTGGAGATTCTCTTGGAGATTTGATCACAGATAAAATATTTAAATCATTTTGCTTAGTCATTTCTTTGAGCACACTTGATATAACTTCAGAATGATTATCTCGACTAACAAAGTAAGGATTTCGTGAAGATTCGGTTTTAATAACCGCCTCTTGTTTAACTACCACTGGTTCAAGAGGCTTTGGTACAAACTTATAAGGAATTTGCCTTTGCTGTGGAAGGAGAGGTTCAATTTTAATATTACTTGGAATTGATGGTACTTCAATTTTAGGTTTAATTGAAACAACCATGTTGTTTGGAATAGATGGTGCTGCAGATTGTTCTTTAAGAACAGGCCTAGCTGGCATAACAAATTTATGATCTGCTGGTACACCATTAGTTCTAGTTGGAGGTTGAAAAACAACTGGAGGTTTGGACGGTACAGGTCTATTATTTAACATTCGTGATTGGCTCTGATGTCGATAGTTGGAAGGTAGCTGTGGTACAGGCGATTGCATTTGTTGTGTTGAACAGTAATTAGCTAAAGCTCCATTTTTATCCATATTATTTGTAGCCATTAGCCGTTTCTTTAAACGTGATGGACACTTGTCAAATATAGATAAAAATTCCGTGGTTAATTGCTCTAGTAATTCTGTAGTTACTGCCTGATCTACATACCAAAACCATGGTTTTCCTTCCATACTATCTTTTAGTTCCCATTTAGACCACTTACAAGCCAAGTGTATACAGAAACATGCTACAATTGTTGGCTTATACTGGACACACATTGTAGTCAAATGTAAACTATTTGAAGCCATAAAATAAGCAGTTTGAGCAAGATCTTTACTAGCCCTAACAAGATGACAACATCTTACTATATGAGTGTGAGGATGATCTATAGCAGTTTCAAAACCTAAAGTTTTTAACAATGTCTCTTCATTTTTTAATAAGTCTTGAACTTGTTCTAAATAAACTTCAGATTTTGTATCAATTTGATGAACACTTTGTCCTTGATGTTTATTCAAGCACATAATGGAAACCTTTAGAACATGTTCTAATTTTCGAGGTTGTTCTTCATTTTTAGCAGCAAGAAATAAACAAGCAGTTGCCATAGAATTTCGGTGAAAAAGTGTAAAAGGATGATACATGTAAAAACGATGCATATACACAATTGCAGTATTTATACATAACTGGGTGGTGTGCAGCCTTTGACCCATTTCTTGAATTAGATTTGCAGCAATCTGCCGATATGACAGCTCTTTGTCAGCATCGAGACCAAACCGTTTGCTGGGTGAATTCTCCAGCTGTTCTTTAGTGAAATACCATCGATCTTCATGCATGGCGCTCACCACCCTAAACATAATTAGACTTTATTTTAGTCCAATAGATACACAATGAAAGAGAAATGCATGAAAGACATCAATATTATGTATCTTATTAGTACAAAAAGACAATTTTTCAATCCATTAATATTTAATAAATCTATTATTATTATTTCTAGTATTATCTAAATTAATTTTATAAATTAAAAATTAAAAAAGCCAAGTTAAATCTATTAAAACCTTACAAGTGTTATTTTTTTATTTTACACTATTGATTTTAAAAAGTATTTAGTAGCAAAACAATTCCAGAATTGAATGAGAAATATTAAGAAACAGCCCAAATTTAAGGCAGAAACTCAAACCCTTTCCAAATGTTTTATTTGTTTCATGGTAATTATATGTCATTGTGCACTTGACATTTCAAAAACTCGGTAACAGTGTCTTTAAATATATAGATAAACTTATAAATACCATTATTAAATATAAATAACTATAAATTATGTAAATTAATTTAAAATATAAATTATTATTTTCACCATGAGTACAGCAAGAGATAAAAATTAAACATGCGCAAAATATTGATTAATTGTTTTTTATGTACAGTAATATCATTTAGTTAATGTATTTTGAGGAAAAAAATAATAAGATCCATCGATACTGACACAATCGTAACATCAATTTCAATTATGATAAACAGAGACACATTTAGAATGACGGGGAAGAGCATATAATAAGCTTTTTTACAAATAAGGCTCCATACAATTTAGATGACCTTTTCTTTTTTTACTTATAACTTTTTTGTTTAATTTTGTTATATAAAATATTGAAAAAAAAATACCACATACATACTTAAAATATGTATTAAAAAATTCAACAAAGCAACATTTGAAAAAGTTATTTTGAAAAATCTATTATTTTAGCTTTGATGCAATGCTGAAGCTTCTTAACAAATTTTAACTTAATTTTTGAAAATACTATTATTTATAATAATTGATTATTATATAATAAGTTGAGTAAAAATATTAATTGTATTTCTCTATACATTTAATACTTAAAAATATATTAAATTCTACATATGTATTAATAATAAGTTATAACGTTTCTATGACAACCCTGTAGAGCGTTGAATTTTTTTCAATATCATAATATAATATTTACTTAAAAAACACACTTTAAATACTAATTTATCATACATCATCTATCAATTACAAATCTTTACAAACCATTCTTTATTTGGATGACATTAAAAGATTCTTTAATTAAATATCAACTCCCAATAATTAAAAAATGCAATGCCATTGCTCTTTGTTACTAATATATGATCACTAACATAATCAATAAACAGAGTATTTATTGCAATTATTTTCTAACTAAATAATCACACAAATAGTAAGCACTTGTACCCGTCAACTTAATCTACATATTTGTACACAGCTTGACATTTCTAAATTTATTCTACAATATGTTCAGAATCACAACATTATGATAAATGTTATGATTTATTAATTATAGTAACTTGTGTCTTTTTTTTAATTAACATTTTTAGTTAATTATGAACCTTATCTTGTACAAGGGTAAAACAAACTCTCATATCAGGCATTGTAATACTAAAATCTTTAATAAATGTTTATACTACAATCATATTTCAGCAAATCTAAATCAAAAGTTTTAGTAAAAAATAAATTCTAAAATAATTTTTAACAGATTAGGATAGATAAAAACTTTTTCCTTTACTATTTCCTAATCTCAAAATAAAAAAAAAATAAAACAATAACAATACCATGTATTTATAATATGACATAAATATAAATTAGCACTGAGTTTTCTAACTCATAAAGCACTTTAATCTAATAACATAATTTTACTCAATGTCATAAAACAGAACAGTTTTGCAAAAATACTTTCTTTTTATATTTTACTTTTGATAACACACATGAGATAATTAAAAAATTATCTCATCGCCACCAAAATAAGAAGCACAAACACTACTACTTTGAATTATAAAAAAATATATTATAAAACAAATTATTGGATGGAAAATAACAAGGAACTGATTAACAGACAGCAAATAAACATGTTTCATAGCCAAAATAAAAATTTAATCCAGGCTATCGTAATCCTAATTTTATCTTAATTTTCAAACCCAATTAACGAAAAACAAAATTAATTTAAAAAATTAAGACTTAAAATTAAAGTGCGAGATAAAATTATTTACCTCGAGTCCAACCGTATTTTCGTAGAATAACTTCCCCAAAACTCATGATATAGGCCACGTTTATTATTACACTAGTATGATAATAAAATATAATCATACATTAGACTACACGAATTAAACTCACCAACTACAAACATAAATTCATAACTAAAAAACACTGAGGCTTTTTTTTTTTATATTGAGCAAAAAGTACTGTGTACCTACGATTCTGACACAGTTGCAACATCATGGACCCAACCTATAAAATTAAGTTTACAACATCGAATCATGGATGATAAAAGAAAATCAAAAATAATTATTTTTCGAAATAATTAAAATGAATATAAATAATGTTTGACTACATATTCCTAAGCAAGTGGGTAAATTTTAAATTTCTTCAAAAGTATAGCAAATCCAATTAACTTAAAAAATTTTTGTTATTTATGTCAATATTGGTAATCCTTGCATTTTAATATAGTATAACAGGTTGTCAATACTGTACTGATAACCTGCTTAACAAACGCCGAATATAATATTCTAAAATTTCTTCGTATTAAAATGCGTAGATGCCATTGACGTCTAACTGTTATATATTTTGATAAATCGCTTCCTGCAATATCCATGATCGATATTACCTTATAAAAAAATTGCTTACATGAATTAACACATACTTGAGTTAATATAGGGCTGTTATTTTCAACACTATACAGAATGGTATACGATGTTTTGATAAATTAATAACTTAAAACCCAACGAATATTTTATGTTATTTCTTTTTAATAATTTTTTCAGTTTTGGTCTATGTTAAAGCATGTTATATAAATAATTAATACGAATAATAATAAATTATTCGTCATTGGCTTCTAGGTACACAAATCCAACCCATTTTCTTAAAATAATATTTTTGAGTAATGATAATAATTTATTATTTCCATATTTATGATATGTGAGTCAATTAATGTATTTAACTCTAATATCGACGTTCAATACATAATTTTGTACCAATATATCGAAATAAAAATATCGATTTTTTGTAAATCATATCGATATTTAGGCATTATCAATATTATTTGAGCATCCCTAATGACCATTCGATTATTCAGTAACTCGCACAACAATCTAAAACATAATCAGTAGTTAACCAATCGCTTTGCGCGTTGTTTGTGTATTGTATGTGGGAAGAGTATTATACGATGATTTATGGAAAAAATTAGATAAATTTTAATTGGGAACCAATAAAAAAAAAAATTCCAGCTACTTGATGTCATTAAAAGAATTATCAAATTTTGATTGAAATTAATACTGTAGTAATAGAAAAATTATGTGAAAAAATGAAATATCTGCATTCGTTATATTATTATTGGTAAATACCTTATAATTATTTTAACATTATGTTAATAGTTTTCTATTGAAAACTTTATTAATTTATAAATAGATAATCAAAATAAAACTACCTGTGTGTATAAAATACAAACAGTTTATCTATTTTAAGTATAAAAAATGAAATAAAAACTAAGAGATACTAATTGTTATCTAGAATATACAACATAAATAAGTTTTCATTAATAAACTATATTATTTATAATATATCTTTTAATTTTAAATTGTTTATAAATTTTATCCTAATAAAAACTATCAGAGGAAGTAAGCCCAGAACTACCATAATATTTAAACCTAATAAAATATTTTTTTAAGAAAAATCAAACTAATCATAGTTAATAAAAAAAATAAAAATAATTAGATATAAATAAAAAAATTACTGAAAATTACATTCATCAGCTACCAACCAATTTTTGTTTGGGATAGTAAAAATATTAAATAATACTTGAAAATAAAATAATTTAAATTTTACTTTATTATAGGTTAAATTTAATTAAATTATTTTTGAGTATTACTAAATTTAAATACTTTATTTTCTATTAAAAATAAAAAATTTTGTCAAATGCAAAAAATAAATGATTATTTGATTTTATGATATAAAATATATCTAAATTCATATTATAAAAAAATAAAATAATATTGAGAAATTTTTTTTAGTTGCATAATTTTATTAATTTATCAGTCATAAAGTATTTTTTGAGTGTCTACTTTATTTTTTTTAAACTGAAATGTACGTAAATTACTAGCTTATTTAATAGATGACAATGATCTAATTAAGAAAATGACTGGTTGATAACAACTTTTATTCTATAGTAATGGCTGCAGGTGAGATGCGGGTGTTGTTATTTTTAACACTAGTCATTTCCTATCTATACTCATCCTTCTGGCTAGGTATATAAATTTGAATAACTTCTAAAATATCGATCCAAAATTTTTTATCAACTCTCAATAATTTTCTTAATTAGATCATTATATATTAGATAAGCTAATTAATTATGCATATTATCATTAAAAAAAATTAAGTTGACACTTTCATAAGGTATAAGAGATACACTTAAAAAATATTTTATTGTTAATAAATTGAGAAAGCACCATTAAGAAACAAAAAAAAAATTCTCAACATTACTTTTTTGACTAATTAAATGGGGTTTTTATTAGTTTTTATTGATCCTAAATAATTAGCTACTTAATATTTATTAAGTTCATCCCACATATCTTGTAAGTTATTTAAAAAATTTAAATGTCATTTGTTATTAATAAAAAAAACCTCAAACATTTTATTAAATGCAAAATATGTGTATCTATTTAAAAAATAAAGTGGATACCCTTACAAGCCATAAGGGATGAACTTAAAAATAGTATTACATAGACATAATTTGAAATCAATACAGATTGATTTTTTTAATGCTAGCCATTTGATTCCTCTTTCGATAATAAGTTTTTTGAAAGAAAATTATTTTGAAATTTGTTAGTTACAAATGTATTTTATTTATCTGTTTAACAATAATTTTTTATATGATTAAAAGGTTGTTAACTTTATTTTTTTTAATAGCAACATTTCTATTAAACTAGATTATAAAATAAAAAATAATCTAATTAAAAAAATTCTGGTCAATAACAACTTTTGGACCAGTTTATCAGAAATTATTCTCTGGAGGTGAGCTTGTTTAATATGTATATTATGATTGAAAAAAATTTAACACCCTATAAGATATATAGAATGGACCTAAAAATTATTTTATAATATATAAATAGAAATACATGTGTAACTAACAAAATACAAAAAATAATTTTTTAAAAATCTTAATTATTATTTTAAGAGCAATCTATCTAGTTGTCAGCATTAAAAGAAACACTTTGTATGTAATTAAAATTTCCAAATTATTTATATTCCACAAGTGATTGGTTTATGTTAAATGGATCATTTTGTATATTAAAAATAATTGATACAAGTTAATTTTTGAGTAAAATGAATTTGACCTGAAAATAAAAATTTCAAACTGTTCTCTTTGGTATCAAAAATAGTAATAAAATTAAGTTATAAGGCAATATTATTATATTTTCAATATCTACATTTATGTTCTTATGGGTTTATATATTTCAAACGACTTTCCTGAAAAGTTACAAAAATTGACTCAAACCAACATTTTTGCTTTAACATCTACATATATTGGACATTAACGATAACAGGTGCATCAGCAAATGTATTCGCAATAATGAGTTATTAATGTTCTAAAAATCTAATTAACCTAGTGAATGATCTATAATATAATTAAAATCTAAGTTTTTCTCTTATAATTTAAAGATTTGAATGAAGCGCAATTTTTATTTGTAATTCAATTATAAAATTGAAGTTATAAGCGGTAGATAATTCAATGGTTATGACAATAGTTTTTTTGTTTAATTTTTTAAATATATCAAAATGATTCCGATACCCTTTTACTCATTAGAGCTAGATATGTATATCATTTTTCAATTATATTTGATTTCTAAATCAATTTTTTTATTTTGAAAAAGGAATTTACGATAATCTGAATCATCTGATTTACTCAAAAAATGTCTATATTTTTTAAATCTCTTTTTTTTTTTAACATTATTAATTTTTAAGATTATAAATTAAATATATAATTTTTTATTATCAGAGTCCAAATAAAGAGATAAAAATTATTTTATTTTATACACTATTGACTAAATTTAGTCAATTAAAATAAAATTGTAAAAATGTTAAACTTTCAAAATTGTGTTGATACTCTTGTTTGGATCTAGTAAATCAATTGGTAATTAATTTTTAGTATTATAAATTAACACATGTTCTCATCGATATTAAAAAAAAATTTGTAGTTAATCATATACTAACAAAAATATTTATTATAAAAACATTTTAATGGTAAACTGAACATGTATAATACACATTATATTATACTGGCACCGAGCAATTTATTTTAGAAATCAACAACTAAATATACGCAATTCTTAATAGAATTTTTTCATTCAAAACTAATAGCACATTGCAACATGTAAAGGATGTTTATGAACATTAATTTCACTTTCTATTTATTATTATACATAAAACTAGTTTTCTGCACTATTACAAATTGATAATATATATATATATATATTCATATTCCTAAGTAAACCCTACTTTAGTCTAGTAAAGGAATAATAAATTTTTAGTTTCTGATCCAATTTTACTAACTTTTTATTATACAACATGTTTTTTGATTAATTACTTATACAAAATTTTATTATCTTTTTTAACTTTTGTGTTATATTTTAAATTGTGTATCAATTATATAAATGCAAAAAGGTTGTTAATAAGATCAACCTACAAATCTTTATTTAAATAACCAAAGATATTTGGACATGCTTAGTTTTGGTTAGCTGAGGGATAAAATTCATTATATGAACCAACTAACTTAAATACTTTTTGAATTTTATTAATCTGTGCTCTATTGAAAATAACATTCAAATGTGTAGTAATTTTAAGATAGTAAAGAAAAGAAAAGTTCTATATCATTAACATTTAAATATTTTGAATAAAAGTGTAATATTAAATTATATTTATATATATTGTTGAAGAATTTATAAAATTAAAACTATATATGTATTACATTATTATAACTTTTTAAGTGTCTTCACAAACACGTAAATTTTTACTTCACACTTAATTACCTTTACATTTCAATATGAAATTATTTATAAATATTATTTTCAAGACACAATAATTAAGTCTTTAAATACTCAAATTAAGATCTAGCTCCGATATAAAAATAAACCAGCATTTTTTTAATATTCCAATTTGATTGAATACTTGGGCAACAAGAAGTTCATAAAGTCTGATACACATTTAAGGTAATACTGATTTAAAGTATACTTTTTTACAGCTTATTTTGTTTGTTGCAGGAATTTTAACTAAGTTAAATTGTCTTATATAATTATTAAAAAATATATTTATTAATATATTAAGTATCTTACGTAGCAAACTATTTTCTGTC